GTAGGACCTGCACTTGGCCTTGTTGAACTGCAGGAGGTTGGCATGGGCCCACCTCTCCAGCCTGTCCAGGTCCCTCTGGATGGCATCCCTCCCCTCCAGCGTGTCTACCTCGCCAAACAGCTTGGTATCATCGGGAAGAAGCACAGCAGCTGATGCCGAGCACCGCTCACAGCCACCGTGGTGGCTCCCTCTGCTCCCCAGCCTGTTTGAACACCAGCCTTGCCCCGGGACCTGCCCCGGCACGCTCGTCCCACGGGTCGCCTGGGCATGGGGGTGAGGATGGGACTAGGCTAGGGACACGACACACAGTGAGAAGGAAAAGAAAGGGAATGAGAAGGCAGTCGGTAGGTGCACTGCTAGTAAGAGAAAAATGAAAGAAGGATTCTTCACTATGCACCGGGGGATGAATGATAATATCAGAGGAAAAAACTAAGCATGCAATCGTTTGGGGTTTTTTTGCTTCAGTCTTCATTAAAAGGTCATCTGCGATCAGACGGCTAACAGTAAATGTCAGCAAAAAACGGCTGAGGACGCAGGCTAAAATAAGAAAACGGTACGTTAAAGATTTCTTATACATTTCTTATACTGGATGCTTCCAAATCGGCCGGGTCTGATTTAATTCATAGCGATGTACACAGGGAGGTTGGTAAAACTGCCTCGGAGCCGCAGGTGAGGGGTTTAGAGAACTCGCAAAGAACAGGCAAAGTGTCCAAACAGGAACAGGACGAATGTAAAGAATACCTTTAAAATGGGGGAAGGAGGAGTCAGGGAACTATGTAAACATCACCCCACCTCCTGAAAAGACATGGAATGGGTCAACCAAATCCATCTGCAAGTAGCGACAGGAGAACAAGGTGGGAAGCAACAGCCGACGTGGTTTGGTCCAAAGCAAATCGCATCAAAGCAGTGTAATTTTCCACTAAGAGACTTTGCAGATATGGAGGAGGCACGAACTAGGATATATTGAGAGATTCTGGTGTCACTGTTTGACGGGCTCACTGATGTGAGGCTGAAGCGGAGTTAGCGATGGCAGGTTTTTCTGAAAGCAACGGGTTGTAGGGAGGCAGAGACAGAAACGTGACGTGTTCTGGTTTGGCCCAGCGCTTCCATGGGTGCGCCACGCCACGCACCACTTTCCAACCAAGAATGGGACCATTTGGAATGATTTTGCAAGAAATTAATGGGAATGATGTGAAAACTTGCAAGATTGAAAGAAACAGGGTGGTTCCCACCTAGGGCTAGAAGACTGTGGAGAGAGGTAATCACGATCTTCAAATACCAAAACAGACTGCTGCAAAAGGAAGAGATTATCCTGTTTCAGCTCCCAAAAGGAGACAGGACAAGAATTTCTGGTCTTAAAACACAGCAAGAAAGACTTAGATTAGAATTTGGGAAAACTGTTGTAAGCCCCCAAGGATAACATGGCCTTAGAATAGTTCACAGATGTGTGATGCAGAACCGCCTCCACTGGAAACTTAAGAGCCGATTAGACTGACGGCTGTCAAGAACCGTTGATGAGGCAGTTAATCACGCTGGAGGGCAAAGGATGACGGGACAACCCCCGATCACCTATTCCAATCCTCCTTGCTGTGATTCTGTGGTTTGAAATTACTGCACGGCACAGCCCGGGCGCCGGGGAGGACAGCCGAACCCGGGGCAGAGCTGGAAGAAACGGAGAGGGATGAGACAAGGAAGGGAGAAAGTCGGGTTTTGCCGTGTTCAGTTCACCTCTCCGCCGCCACCCCCGGCAGCCTGCGAGCCGCTCAGAGCGCGAGGGCCGGAGGTAACACAGGGAGAATAAAATGGGGAAAACGACAAATT